ATTTCCCTAGTGTGCCTCAACAAAACCTCTTACACAAGTTAACCTCACCACTAGAAGTCTCCAAACCCAAGCAAAAGAGCTCCTTAGTTTTTTGATTGATTCAATTCAGATACCCATGTGTGTTGTTCATGTACTGCTCTATTTACATATTAAAATGAGAGGATGACCAATTATTACATCAAAGGGGTACACAGGTGAGGAGAGCCAAAAATTCCCCCTTCCTCTCCCACACTCAGCTGCACTTACCTCCCAGCCCAGCTCAGTTCTGCCTTTAAGCAGGCTATATATGGCAAAGGAGACCAAGGAAGTCAGATGGATGATGGGGAAGCTTCAACCTTCATCATCCCCACATACCCTTCGAATGTAAAAATTCGACCCCACCTATAACTTTATACACAAATGGAGTAGATGCATCAATAAGCAAATGTGGTTGTCCCCATATATCCAGTTTGGCCCTAAGTTCTGTATATTTAGTCTGGCTCTAGACAGAAAACTATGTTAAAGAGCTCAGGGTGATTTGAAAGCTGAAATCTGCATCTCAAAATCATGTGGACCTAACTTCCAAAGTCTATACCTGAGAAGTACCTGTGCCTTTGGAGTTCCAGGGGGAGAAACTATCTGCTAAATAAGACCTTTCTTGTAATAACTGTGCTACAGTAGGAAAAATGCAGAAAATCTTTCTGCAGTGCTGAGGTGCAGTTGGAATGGTGAAAGGTGTGAGCAAAGGCATGTCTCTTCTTTCTATTTTCATTCCAGAACTACTTTGTCTAAGAGTGGCCTTACTTAACCAGGTGCACTCAAAATGCATTGAACTACAACTCCCATAATCTTACAGCCAGCTTAGAAAAACAGCTACTGCTCTATCATAAGGTGGAGAATAAAAGAGTGCCTCAGTTCACGACCAAATCGGGTTGCGAACAAAAATTTCATAAAAATTTTGACTCAGGTTGTGAACTCCACATCGGGTGGCAACTGTGATCTTGGCCATCACCCCACCCCACCCCACCCCCAAGTGGGGAGATGGCCACGATCCTGCTGGGGGCGGGGGGAAGATGGCTGAGACCACGCCCATGATTGCACCCATCTTTCCTGCACGAGTCCAGCCACGATCTCAGCCATCTCCCCCCCAGCACGATCATGCCTATCTCCCCCGAGCGCACCCGTATTCACACCCGTCTCTCCCCCCAGCACACCCGCAATTGCACCCATCTCCCCCACTCCCCCCCGCAGCACACCAGGATGACAGGCACGTGCAGGGATGACAGGCGTGATTCTGGTCATGCTGGGGAGGGCAGAGAGATGGCCACACTCATGCTCGGTTTGGGGGGGGGGGGGGAGATGGCTGAGATCTTTGTTGTTCTTTGTCACTTTGCTTCATTTTTCTGATTAAAAAAAATAGTTACAGAATAGATTTACCTTATTTACACTGAACCTTATGGGGAAATTTAACTTGGCTCACAACCAATTTCGGCCACGACCAGAATCCTGGAACGGATTAAGTTCATGAGCCAAGGTACCACTGTCCCAAGGGCAGTCTAAGCCTTTCCACTCTCCTTCAGGACTGTGACCCTATTAGCCCATTGAAGAGCAGCAATGGTGGCCTTTTGCATCTAACAATAAATAATTGCCCACAGTTCTTTGGTCAGGGTTGCAAGGAGAAAGAATGCTGTTTCCCTCTGCCACATGAGCAAAAAATTAGCTTCTGCAGAAGAACCATGCTGGATCAGACCACAGGCCTACTTAATATAGTATTTTGTTCCCAGGCTAGCCAACAAGATGCCCATAAGCAAAACATGACTTGCAGTAATGCCATCCCACTCATGTTCTCCAGCAAATATATAACATATATACTATCTCCAATATTGAAGGTAATATATAGCCACCATGGCAAGTAGCTTCCAGGAGACTTATCCTCCTAGCTTTTATCTAATCCCCTTTTAAAGCTTTCCAAGTTGGTGGCCATGGCTCAGATGCTTTTTGGACATAATGGCAGTATTCAGTGGCAAGCCCTAAATTAATTAACCCATGAATCACAGGGATGCACATAGGAACAGCCCATAAACACAGAGTTCATAGGATTCTGCAGTATCTGAACCCAAGCAGCTGGGATTGTTTGTTGGTTAAACAACCATAACTTAACTCATGGGTTTGCCCTTGGGTTTAACCCATGAACAACCCCAAAAGCCAGGTTTCAGATAATAAGGAAACAACTTACAAATATTGCTTTCATTAGCTGCCATATATGAAATCAGAGCCATCCCACACATGATGCTCATCCCCACAATTTCTGAGTTAATTAACTAATCAATCCACAAATGGGCACCAAATACCATTGTTGCACCTAAACAGGCTTTATATCTTGTGGTAGAGAGCGTCATGTCTCCTGAATCTCCCACCATTCAACTTTATGTGATAACCCAAATTCTAGTATTGTGACAGTACTAGGAAAGTGATGCTATGGGAATATTAACACTATGGGAATATTACCTCAGAAACAAGCATATCAGTGGTATTCAAGTAAGGGCACAAATAATGCAATTCCACTAAAATCCATTAGAATCTTTATTTCTAATTTCTGTATTGCGAAATTAGCAGTATCAAGAATTTAGGGAAAAATAAGAAAGAGACATACATGATGGGGTTTATATAAAAATGGAAATGAAAAAAGTAAAGAGAAACTTCCTAGCATACTAGAACTTGGGGTCATCCAGTGAGAGGGAGATCAATGAATGTGAGAGATAAAGGACAGCCAAAAGGAAGTACTTTACACAGCATATATACTATTGGATTTGCCCACAGATGTAATGACAGCCATCAACTCAGATGGCTTTAAAGTGGATTAAACAAATCTATGGAGGATAAGGCAATTAATGGCTATTGGTTATGAGAGAGATATACTACCTCCTGGATCAAATGCAGTATGCCTCCTAATGCGGATTGTTGGGGAACATGAATGGGAAGGTGCTATTGCATTCATTTCCTTCTTGTGTTCTTCCCACTGGGCCATATGGTTTGCTCTGCCTAATGTTTTGACACATGTTTTTTTAAACCCCTGGATGCTTTGATGGCATGTTGAATAAAATCAGTTTTCAAACAAAGCTCACCAAAATTACTAAGATAAAACATTTATAGTAACCGATGCACATGCATATGCACCAATGTAAATAATCTGTAGCATATCAATAGCTGGAAAGAAGGCAAAAATGCAACACACTTCTGTTTTCAAAGACTCCTCTGTCTGGTTCCCAGAGGCAATGCTTTCTCACTGCAAACAATTAAGCAAGCAGGTAACTTTCTAGACAGGATGTAAACCAAAGGACAGTAGGGAACAACCAGCATCCTTGAGCTACTGTTCCTTGACTCTGTGGGGCAGAATAGGAAGTGATTCTCTTATACAGGCTTACTCAGTTTCATAGAATGCACAATCCCCCTTTCCTAGGCTTGGAATATGCTTTGGGTGGCCAGAGTCTATCTCAAATTTGTGATCCTAGCACTTCACTCCAGTAGCAGTGAAAGGCAAGTCAGGGAGAATCATAGTCAAAAGGGCCTTGGCTGAAATTGAGGGAGCTACTGAAGCTGTCACACTGCATACTAGAAAGCAGTCTTCCCCAACCTGGCACCTACAAGATGTACAAGACTACTACTCCCAGGCTGGCATGGGGACACTGGGAACTGTAGTCCATCACAGCTGGAGGACACCAGGTTAGAGGAGGTGACTATATGCAAATAGAGGTTTCAACATTCACTATAAACAGCTTTGATAACACATTCTTTTCTAGGAGTAAAGGTTCTGGAACCAAGATCAGGCAGATATAAGCAGCTGTCAATTTAAAAAAGCTTGACAGTATTAAAAAAGCTTGACAATATGACAAGCTTGTGTGAGAGAGATTATTTGTGTATGTAATTCCCTTTAGTTCTGCATAGCTGCTTTCTAATTTAAAAAAATGAAAGAGTTTTGAGTGCTTCACTTCAGCCTGTTATGGAAGAGGGAGCCGGATTTTATTTGCATTTTTACAATCAAGTACCTAATTCACCTGCGGTACTATGAAACTATTAGAAATATAAACCAGCAAACTTTAAACCATAGTCCTACATTTAAGCAGCCTAAAACTTTTCATTACTTATTTCAGCAACAATGGAACAAGTGACAAACAGTCATCTTTCATGACTTAAAAGGAAAATGCTAAATATAACTGCAGTTAACTTTGCAGAGATGAAGGCAGTCAAGTTTTTATTGTAGTGTGGCTTTTTAAGCATTATTAAGTACAAACTGCTCCAAACCTAGACTACAGAGAAAAACCAAACCAAAGTTATACAAGAGATGAGATTTACATGGTGCTCCATGTAAGCTGAATATCAACACCTCTAAATAGTGTAAAAAAAGTACAGTTTCTTTTTTCACTTCTTCCTATTCCTAAGTCTATGCACAAGAACAGCAATAAAGCTGTTTTTTCTTTCTTTCGGGCCACTTCCAACCCTTCCCTCAGATGTACTCTTTCAAAAAGACCAGTACAGAAAGCAGCTCTCAAGCTTTACACCCTCCAGCGATTTTGTTAAAAAAGAAAAAAGAAAGAAACGGAAAGGAGGATCACAAGTGAGCTCCAACTCCAGAACGCCTGCTTAAGAGACCTGATCCTACACAAAAGTTCCAAATTTTTGCCTGCAATCCTATGAATTCTTCGGGCAATATTTTGAAGGGAATGCGCATAGAATCGTGTTGTATAGTTACAATCCTGAACTCCCATGGTAAGCAGTCGTAAACCACATTTATCTCTGTGGGATTTATTTACACGTCTGAAAAACGCTTAGGAACCGCGGTGCACGGGTGCAATTTTAAACTCACGTGCGCCCCTTTCCTGTTTCGAATTAAGCATACTCGACTGCACATAGGATTTGAAAAAATAAATCCTACTGAAAATCAGTGGAGCACTTCTGATTTTCTAAGCGAGGACTCTATACTGTGGAAGACAGAAGGAGGGCCGGACTAGGGCGGTGCTTACAGTCGGAACAGGCGCTCCATATCCTTGATCTGCCGGCGAGTGAACTCTTTAAACTCCGTGTAGGGATTGAAGATCTGGGCAAGGCGGGGCCGCGCTGCGCCCGCGTTGATGTCCTGTCTGCGACTCAGTTTGGCGGTCAGCTCCGGGTCGGCATCGGCGCTCAGCACGCTCCGGTCCTCGTCGGAGTCTTCGAGGCTCGGCTCGGATCCTGCAGGCTCAGCGCTGCCGGAGGAGGGGAGCCCGCCATCCCCTTCCTCGGGAGGAGGCTCTGACGTGCTCCCGTCCCGCAGCAAGCGACGCTGCAGTTTTTGGGCCAGCTCAGCCGACGCCATGGTCGGCGGCGTGGCGGGAGGACGAGTCTGCCCTGTAACGAAGAGTTGCCGCTGCCGCGGGGGCCGTTCCCCTTCTTTGCTAAAGTAAAGTGTGCCCGCCTCGAACTTTATTCTAGGACTTGGGCGAATTGGCGGGGAAGCAGAGCCAGAGCCAGGGGGCGTGGAGGCGGCGGCGGGAGGCCGGGCTGAGAGTTAAGGAGGCGCGGGGGAATTGGCGCACTCTCTGTCTCCCGAGGCACCGCCGTCCAGGGAAACTCGAGGGCTGGGAACAGCTCGATTAGTCCCACTTTTCTCGCACCTGTCACCCCGACGCGCCACTTATCTTTTATTTCTCCACGGCTACAAGCCTCCCGACGTGTATTTGTTGGAATCATTGCACGCATGCACACACTGCAGCCGACAGTGTGCCTTCAAACTACAAACAGAAATTGTCCGTGGATGTACACTTTATTACTGAAAATGGCAGTGAAAGTGGTCATACGGATGGGCCAGTAAAGAAAGGCCTTCAAAGATAGCATTGGCCTACGAGGAAACTCCCGCGCACACCAAAATCCAGTTGGACATACGAGGACAAGCTAAGTGGCAGACGCTCGAAAAGTTTAGACTGGTTGCATTTTGGCTGGTCCTAATAAAGATAATGCCCAACTGTAGATATGCTTTTGGAATCATTTCCTCTCGATCCTACCCCATCCATATTTTACACTCGCAAACGAGCTATGTAATCGTAGCTGGGGTCATGGGCGCCATTAGAGATTTTGGCACAATGGAAGCGAGCTTTATACAAAGGTTCAAAGGTTCTGATACCTTCAAGGTTAAATGGCAAAACCTCACTGTACAATGTGATAGGGACAAATAGACACTCTCTTGAGAAGCAGAGAGATGTGTATTATAACAAATAGGCCCACTGCAACCTGATCCTAAACGCGTTCCTTTGGAACTGAGTTCCACTCTCCATTGGATTTACCGACCTTTGTGGGACTGTGGTCTGGACAGCAGCCACTGGGAAGAACTAGTGAACTGGCCAGAAATTAGAGTCTCTTTAAGCATGACCATATGTGGTCTTGAAACTGGAGGAGGGGCCGGTCCCACACCCTCTCTAATTCACCCTTATTTAAGATGTCGCTGTGGAAGGGAACAAGAATTACTGGTGCCAATTCATAATTCATGGAAACCCTCTAGAGAGTAAGATGTTCCTTTTAAACAATTTGTAACTTTTATCTATCAGTGTTGTATAAAAATACACATAGTGTTCAAGCAAGTACTATTTCGAAGCCATGTTTAGATAGAAAAACACCCTACAGCTTTCAGCATTCCCCAGACAGAATAGGATTGTGCCCCTAATAGTTGGGTCTTGTTCAGAAGGCATCCTGAGTAAAATAAGACAGGCGCAGGGAAATTCTTCAGTTAGAAATAATCCCCATCTAGTTAAGTGGAGTTACTCTCAGGTACATATGCATAGGATTGCACCGTTTAATTTTTATTTAATTTTTTCTACACTGTCTATATTTCCATAGAAAATCACTAGATGGTTTACAACAATTCTTAAACAAGCCTAATGGTTTACACTAATTTAGCTAATCTGAACTATCAGTAAACCCAGTGGGATCTCATAAGCATGCTTGGAACCAACTGCATGAGTTACCATTTTAGCTTTGCTTTTTCTTAGTGCCTGTGAGTAAGGTATTGCAGACTTTTCTGAGTGGAAGAGGGGAAAAATGGATGTACATGCAATGTAGTAATGATAATAAGCACAGGCGCTCACTAAGAAGGGAATATGTGTAAGATTTTATTGGGGTGGAAACCCTTTTTCAGTGTAAGGGGCAAATACAATTTCAGAGAAGCTCAGACACATTCCCCTCCGATGAAAGGCAAAGGGGCTACAATTAGGACCAAAATACTGACATATTTTAACATAAAGATTTACTGCTGATAACAAAGCTTTATCAGGACTTTTAACAGCTTCATTCATGCTGCAGAAAATGATAGATTGCTGCGGGAAATGCAGTGGTGTCAAGGAAACATGGTGTTGCCATATGATGAACCTCAGAGTACCCTGGACCTCATGTTGCACCCCGCATTTGTGCAATAAGGGTACAATTGAATGCACTTCTCAATGCAAGTCCTTTGCAATATTTGGGACTTCTAAGGAAACTTACATAAAATTAGGCTAAAATGTACTTTATTTATTTATTTATTTATTTATTTTTCGATTTATAGCCTGCCTTTTTCCTACAAAGGGCTCAAGGCAGCTTACATCTCCTCCTCCATCTTTATTTCCATTCCTTTTGAACAATAGGAATGCTCCCCATGTTTATCATTTTATCTCATGTCCTTTTTAATTACATGTTACAGTTTTTCTTAATCTGTCTTGTTAGGACTTGTCATAAAATGCGGGGTAGAAATAACATCTCACAAAAGACAAAAGACAGCTGGGGAGCCCTTCTCAAACATTTAGGAACCTGTTGAGTCCCAGTTCATGTAGTGCTTCCTTTTCTTGCCCATTTTAGGAATGTTGAAATAGACAGGAGGGTGGCTACAGATAAAGTGCTTGCCTTGACCAGCATTCCATTTAGTCTCTAGTCACATATAAATAAGTGTGCCACAATCAACCCTTTAACATGCGTGTCATTTCTACATGTGAATGGACCAACTTCTATAGTGGGTTTATATCCAATGGCACATATATGAAAAGCTTGCATGGACAAACAATTTGCCCATAGCTGCTCTTATAGCTGCAGCATCATTAGGCGTAAGTCATTAATAATTTGTTGGAACTGGCAGTTTGCATCAGCTACTAGCTTTTGCTATCCCTGTAGGAATGCTTCAGGTCCTCTGTCCTTTGACCCCATCCCTGAGTCTGGATCAATAAAATGTGATCAGCTATAATCTTACTCCTATTCTAATTTTATTCCAATAAAAATTATCTGTATCTTGCCAATGAAATTCAATTATACACACTCTGTTTCTTACCCCGAGATGTCTGTCTGATCTGCCTTCAATAAGAAACTATTCGCTTCCTCTTCCAGGCAAGGTCATAAAATCTGCCCATCCCAGTAGACCAGAGTCTCCTTAAACTTACAGAATCACACTTCTCCTGTCTTCTGGGGTTTAAAATAAACAAGAACAATCCCAAATTCAACGCTATGCTTTGGCTCTCTGTCTTCCAGAAGGAATCAACAGATGTTTTTCTTTTCTATTTGGGTGTGGCCATAATACTTATTGATGTTTTTATCCCACCCTTTCCCAAAAGAAATCAGTCTGATGAAAAGCAAATACTAGGCCCCTTTCCTCAAGTACATTTTGTTAAAAACGAGCTAGCCAAACTGTATGCCTTTGTTCAAAACCCTGCAAAATGTCTGTTTTTTGTCTGTGGTGGTGATAATAGCCCAGGGTGCTCCTTAAGCAGAGGGCTGCTTTTCTTACAGGGATGTACAGAAATCTTAAAAGCGAAGTATAAACATATCCACATGCAACCACTCAGTATAATTAAGAATGAGAGAATACATTGTCAAAAAGGGAGCCCTTTGTTGTAAATAATAATAATAATAATAACCATAGAGTTGCATATAATATATATGTGCTAATATATCTATAGATGCAAACACAGAAATCATTATGATACCTTAACTAGAAATACTGCACTTCTTACCATATTGGAGAACACTTTGTAATACCTAGTAGTCAGGATCATGAAAGCTCAACTGTGCAGATTGTCATGCTTCATGATAACATAGGTTAGGCTAGATGCCACTCTATCTGTGAAATCATTTGTATCCAAGGCCTTCTTTAAATCCTATCCATCTCTACAATGAATTAAAAACTTTTGACTAATTAAAAATTGATTAATTGATTAATCAGTCAATTGATTGAGCAACATGTTTAATATTTTAAAAATAAAATGTCTTAGGAAAGGTACAGCTAGGCGATGCCTTCTTAGAACAGAAATTCCTCCTCTCACAGGAGGGAATGCCTCTTACAAGTTGGTGCTTCCTGTGGCTCATTCACACATCAAAAACAGAGAAACTTATGCTTTTTTTCCGTCACAATTTTTTCCTGCCATATACAAATATATTGATATCAATTAGTCACTTCCATCTCATGCAATTAATCAACAAGGATTTCTTTAATTAGCTTTCAGCATTCATTCTACTTTTATTTGGCTTTTACTCAGAAGCTGTGGATATCATGTACTATGATATCCCAAAGTCTATAAATTGACTTAAAATAGTCACAATAATTGTCACTAACTTCAGGGAAGATTGTCTTTTAATTCTGTACAATATCCTGAGAGTACACACAAGTTCACTCAATAAAAATCCTTAGTTTCTTTATTTCATTTACTGTCTATTGCTCACACAATGGAGGGAGTTTTCTGAAGAGATTTGGAGAGGTATTTGTAACTGATAATCACAGGACTGTTGCAATTGATGATTACTGGAGTTTGATAATTAAAGCAAGGATTGACTGAATACATTTGTGTTGTGTTTACACCAAAAACTGTGCTCACAGCTGATCAGTGGTGTTGTGATAAGCAGCTGAAAGAATGGGAAAAGTTGATCATTTTGTCACACTGGACAAGTATGAGCAAAGTGATTGTTAATGTGGAACATGCCCCTTGAATCTCCAGTGAGACTTTTTGTAGCTTTTTTATGTAATGTGCTCTAAACACAACAGCTATTGTTAGTAGGTACAGCCAGGAAACAGGTTGCAAATTGATAATGTCTAATAAATCCAGAGCCAGTACAGTGCTTCCCTCTCCTCTATTGCACAATGCAAAAAAGGAAAAATTCAAGAGAACAAAATAACACATGTGTTAATAGCAGAATCTCAGCCCATAAAGGGCCAACTACTTCTTTTCTGTGGGAAACAAGCAGTGTATTTGCTCATATTCTCTGATGAATGTGAAAGACTGAATGAGAGCCAAAACTAAATTGCAAAAGGAATGCCAAATTAATATGTAAACACAGCTGTCAGTGGTGCACTAGCAAAGATATTTAAAATGAAACACAAGATGTTACAAGCCAGCTTTGTTCTGATGTGTTGTTAAAACAACATCAGTCCAGCCGCAGTTTCTGGAAGCCATAGGAAGTAAGTGCTGCATACAACTTTCATTGCAGGAAAACATTAATTTTCTGAGATATCTAGATTTGAAGCAGGTTAGTGCTGCCCTCTGCTGGATATTGACTTTGTTTTTGCACAAAATCATATCCAATGGTTAATTCTTAATGACCATTTAAGAAGTCACAAAAGCCCTTTGTCAAATGCACTTCTTCATAAAATTAACTTTCAGAGCATTAGTACATCCTCTCTTATCACGATCACCCTCAGGTATGCATAGTCATAATTTCCTAGTGCGTGTACTAAAGCTGCACCAAAGTAAAACAATGCAAGTCAATTCCTCCACGTCAATGTCAACCATTTTGTAACTTGTGAATAAGATGTAAATTATGATTTCATGCTATAATTTCCAACCTAGTTCATAGAATGATCAGCACTTACCTAGTGATAAGTATCATGGCTGGACTTACTTCTGATTAGGTGTGTATAAGATCGCACTGTAAGTTGCTTAGAACTGCAGCCAGTTTGTGAGGAATTCTTGAAAGCAGCACTGACACAAACTTTCCTGCTGCCTGAGGAGGTGTATGTGCTACATCCATCACTCCCTGCTGTGTCCATCAATCCTGCTGGACATTACTGTCTCCCCTCCTCTCCCTGCGCTTCACCTATGTGCTCATTGCATCTTCCTCCTGCCCTGCCTGCACCAGCCTGCTCACCCCTTGCTGGTGCTGCATCTCTCAGCTTTTTGCCACCCTTGGTACCACAGGTGATCTCCAGGAACACCCCTTCTCACAATGCCTATATCTGTGCATTTGAGCCTGGCCAGGTCTCTCAAGAGTCACAGAAGCCACCTTTCTGGCTATTGCAGCTTTTCAGGAAGTTTGCCTTTCTGCCGCTCACTCTGAGGGGATCCACAGAACAGGCAGTGGAGGGAGCAGTGGCAAAGGGGAGGGAGGGCGGCGGAGGTGTGAGGGCAATGTGGAGCGTGGCGGCAGGTTGTCCTGGGGGCATGGAGCACACAACTTGCTACTGCTCCCATTCTGCTGCCAGAGGCAGGGGATTCATTGCACCTCATCAGAGGGCCAGCTCTGATGAGCACAATTTAAAGGATACATTCAGAATGGAAAGGAGCAGCAGCACAGAGCTTTATATTGCTGCTCCTGCAGTGGGCACCTTGCCATGCCTTATCAGAGGGCCTCTGCTGCTTGAAAGCACATTTTCCCACTGGAAAGTGTTAGAGGACTACAAAATAAACCTTGAAGCAGAAAATTTATCCTCTTTCAAAAAGCAGTAATGATGAGGGAGCAAGGACAGTGGAGGTGACTTTTCATGCTCTAAGAGTTCTAGGGGGCATACAGAAGAGCTTATCTTTTTATTCAGGATTACTCTACTATGTCTTGAGTCCTTGTACAAAATGTACAGACAAATTCTTGAACTATATTTTAGATGTCCTGAAAATACAAAAAGCACGTACGTTTCTTGAAGTTTTACTAATGTTGCAAATCTGTTTGTAGCCCATTTTTGCACCTCTTTTGTACCTCTTTTCTCTGTGTTGCAATGTTTATTGGCCTACTCTATTTCTTTGAGGATTTCCCAGCCGCAACTCTGAGAATATGAATGTTCTACATGGCAGCAGAAGACAAGGCATTATTGCTTCTTCTGTGCCTTCCTTCATTGGTTCTGTTGCCCAGTTTCTCTCTCAGTACTTCAGACATTCTTGGATGAAAAAGTGGACAGCATCCAACAGGGGCTGCTTCTTCTGGTTCCTTTGTGCTCATGGGAGCAAGCTTTCCTGCAATGGGGCTTTTGAGCTTCCCAAAACAATTGCAGAAATGAGCAGAAATACTGGACCAGGACAGATCAATGAAGCTCCCTCCTGTGAGCTCTGCTGACCAGCCTCATTCTGGAAATTAGCATTTTTGCTTGTCTGGGGTTATATTTTTAGAAGCGTGGAAGCCATGTAGTGGGAGCAGCCACTTCCACAAGGGCTTAGGCACAATAGGATACTAACCTGATGTTCTAAATCCATTTCAGTTGAGTTCAGGCCATGTTTTGGAACAAAAACTCTTGAATTTCTCTTGCCAAGACAAATACTTTTGGGCCTCTCAGCAGCCTTCTGTACCATCAACCATGGTGTCCCTTCTGGGTAGACTATCTATGTTAGAGATACTGTGTTGCTCTTGTCCTGTTTCTGCTTTGATGGCCAACTGCAGGGGTGGTGCAGGGGAATTATTGACCTACTTGGCAGTTATCCTATTGGTTTTCATAGGCTCTGTTTTATTTCCTGTTGTGTTTAACATCTGCATAAACTCACTGGGATATGATATTGTAAGCCTGAAGTGTCATCAATCTGTAGATGACATCCAGGTATAGCTATTCTCATGGTCAAATCCAGATGAAGCAGCAGGTATTCTGAATTGCTGTCTGGGTCCAGTATTGGACCAGATGAGAGTCAAATTGAAACTCGATGCAAGACAGAGGTACTGTTAGGGGATGAAACATAAAAAATGAAACATAATTCTCACACACACATGCACAGCACTGCATTGTTCAACTGATTCCAGTGCAATGGCTTGTCTCACCTCATTTCTCAGCAGTTCTCAGTCTAAAGGCAGGTGCAGAGAGGGAAAAGTAAGTAACTGGTTGATTTCTAAAGGGATGGGGTGGCAATAAGCTGTCCCTTCCCTCTCAACATCTAATTTTAACAAGGCCTGGGCTTCCTTACTAGTGCATAATGTGTATTCAAGAGGGCCCACAATCCTTCTGATATACTAGCAATCAAGGGGTAATCATTATGGCTGTTTAGTTTTAAATAATTGTGCTCTCCCTCTTGGATTTACATCTTAATATGGTGGGGAGGTTTAAGAGTGTCCAAGAAGCCAAGAGCAATGCATTCTCACTAGTGTCGTCTCCTAGCAGGCTCACCCAAGGTGGAATAGTCAGTGCTTTAAAGGAATAATAATCACATCGACAGGAGAGAATGGATATTTCTAATGGGGGTGAAGAAGCTCCTGGTGGGTACTTACTGGGCAACAGCAGTAGCTGAAGTTGACACTACAATAAGATCGTTAGTAGATAGTGGCAGTGGGACTTGAAGAAAGCAATGGCAAACCAGTTCTGAATTTTTCTTATTTTGAAAACCCTATGATGTAACAATGCAAAAAGGAATAAGAGATAATGCCAGAAGATGGAACTCCCAGATCAGAAGACATTCAACTAGCTACTGGGAAAGGACAAAAGGATATGTACAAACAGTGTTGTTCTGGAGCAGGAGGAAGTCTTGCACCCATCCTGCTTGAGGGATCCTATGATCAGCTGGTTTGCCACTGTGTGTGCAGAGTGCTGGATTAGATGGACCTTTGGTCTCATCCAGCATGGCTTTTCTTATGCCCTAACAGATTTTAAAAGTGAAATAACCATGCAGTACATGACCCAATGGTATCTATCGTATGCACACCAAGTTTCAGGTGTTATGTATCTCAGTCTTGCTGCTATGGTGTAGACAGACACACGGTCTCTTTTACTGTTGGATGCTCATTTGCAATAATCTAAAATTTATAATAATATAAGTACTCTGTAAGCACCTTTTCACATTGTACCACTTTGTGGCAGGCATGGTCATCCATAGACTTATTTATTCATGTGTATATAAAGCAATTTTTAAATTCTCTTGAGGACTGCAATGGATCCAAAACCATTTGATTACAAAGTTTCCCAAATTAACTGAGCATCTAGTTGTGTATGTGTTTGAAGCATTGGCTATTTTTAGTTTAACTGCTTCAGAACCTGAAAATATCATCTCAGAAGAAGAATTTTCCTTCTCTTACAGATGAGAATGCCTCTTACAACATAGCGCCCAGATGTGACACAGGTATGCATCATCTAAAGGAAAAAAAAAGCTTTTTCCTTCAGAACTTGTTTCAGCTTTATGCAAATATATGGAGATTAATCCTTTATCTCAAAGCCTTTTCCAAGTAGCATTTCTTCAGTGTGACTAGTGTGCTGTGGTGGTTAGAGTGTTGGACCAAGCACTGGGGAGATCTGGGTTCTAGTCCCTGCCCAGCCATGAACCTGACTAAATGTTTTAGGGCCAGTCACTCACTCTCAACCCAACCTTCCTCACAGGGTTGTTGTGGAGATAAAATGGAATGAAGGCAGCCTATGTAATACTGCCTTGAGTTCCTTGCATATAAATGCAATCCAATAAGAGTAAGCCGCCCCGAGGCTTCGGCAAGGGGCGGCATAGAAATGTAATAATAATAATAATAATAATAATAATAATAATAATAATAATAATGAGATGCCATCCCTAATAGTTTCTGTTGTACTTCTGTTGTTCAGAGGTTGTGTGTTGTTCATAGGACATGACCCAGATTAGACACCCTTCTGGGGTGTTTAACTATAAAGATTAAAGATGTAATTGTAAAGATGTTTAATTGTACATCAAAAAAGTAAAATTTTTAATTATAACAATCTCCAAGGAGATACTCTAGGATGAATAAAAATATAAATCCATCCATGATGGAATAATGTTCTTCCAGTCAAATGCTTCAAAAACTCTGTCGATTTACCCTTAATCTCCAAATGTAGCCTTTACTGCTCTTGCAACATTTCCAAAAGATGATCAGATTTGACTTTGCAAAAGTTTCTGGGACAGGTAATTGCATCACTGTAGGGTGCACTCCAAGATTGTTTTTCTGGACACTTTAAATATTTGAATTTGGCATGTGGATGAAATTGCTATAAGGTGTATCCAATAAATGTTACTGGCCATGAAGGAACAGAGATAAGGAGACTCAGTTAAGGGCAGTTCACAGATAACTAAGAGCTCAGAATGTCAGCAAAACTTTATTAGCAATGCTATTATATGTTACAGGAAGAAATAAAAGGAAAAAGGGGTTCAATTTCCCTTATATAGTCATCCTAAATCTCAATAATTCATTTGAGAGTGATTGTTCAGTTCTGCCAAACTGTTTTGACTCCTGCTGTTAGGGTACACTGATTTCTAGGGTTTTCCCAAAGGAGTAATATGGCTAACGCCATGTCTTCAACACCTTTTATTCAAAACCATAGAGACATCAGTTTTCAGAAACTTTTTGTGAGGAGTCTGCTTTGAAATAACTTACAATTAATACTCCTGCTGTGCAATTATTTGAGGGAGACTGGCCTGACTGGCCTGATACTCAGGTATAGATTGAAAAATAAATCCATTCTCTCAACAAAAAGTAACCACAGTTACAGAAATTAAAGCAGAATTATCGCCACACCAATACAAGGACTACATTATTTTGAATGCCAGTATTTTGGCTACAAACAAATGAAAGCAATATCTAAAGTTACACATACACACAAGTGTGACATCCAGAGTCCTAGGAGAAAAATCCTTGGGTGTCTGACAGTGGACGAGACATGCTCTGGAATGCCCAATGCAAGATCCCATCAAAGGTATTCTGGAAGATTGTAGAGAAAAGAAAGATGTTTCTATTTGTTTGCCTGGTCATGAGTATTTGAATACAACAGGTGCGAAAATTCATGGGAACAGAATACACAATGTAAACAACAGGCAAAAATACAGGTGTTTTCACGTATAACTTAGATCTGGCATCCTTTCTATCAATCAGTAAGAGCTTCTACTGTGTTAATGGGTGTGATGGAAGTTATAACTACATAGAATGACATATATTGAAAGTTGTCAGAAGGGACTTGAATTCAGTGAAGCCTCCAATATTGTGATTCTGAATTCCAGAACTCTTAAAGCTCTCCAGTTAAATGCTACATGACAGAACAAAACAAATCACAGGTATACCGATTTCCATTACCTCCCCTAGGAAAGAGTCCAGTTCATCTCTGTTCAAAACAGGTTCAGTCCCAGCAGATTCCTCTACCACCTAGGATTCAAAATAATATCATTCAACACTGTCTACTCAGAAATAAGCCCCACTGAATTCAATGAAACTTACTCCCACCTAAGTGGCTACTGGATGAAGGTTAGTAAGTACATTCTGGGCAATGTAGTTTTTGGGGAAATCTTAAGTGTAGCCTTCAGTTAGAATGAAGATGTGTGTAATATTATTGTTATCATCAAAATTCATCCACTTTTTTCTTTTTTTTTTTCTTAAGCATATGGTTTAAAATGAAACATACTGTTTGACAAAGCTGATGTCAGAACCACCACTAGATACAGTGCAGAAGAGGAAGCAAGGCTCAGTTTGCCATTGAAGGATAAGCTGAGTCCTTCTTTCATAATATTTCCATTTTCAGCCTTATACGAGTATGCAGCAGATAAATGCCATGAAATGCAGCAACATCAAATTCAAAGACATACCTTTGTCAGCTGGCCAACTCCTCCTCTTCTCCTTCCTGCTTCCTATACATGTTGCCAGCACTTTCTTTAAGTCTCTCCTCAAACTCCATCTTCCCCATGAATTCTTTGGCTCAATACCTTCACTCCCACCC